TATATAAAAACGCAATCCACACAGATACTCGTGTGTGGTGTAGCGTTTTCTACTAGATTGCTGTATCGGGCTTCCTACCAATGGTGAGCCAGACCGCGCACAGTACCAGCTCGGCTACGGAGTCGGCGTACTGACAGGAAGGAACGGTTGGTTACTAGCAAGGGGATTTGGGTTCTGTAGTAATATAAAATTGATAAAAAAAAAAAAAAAAGATTGAGCAGTGGAGGAAGTGGTCACACAAATTTGAATTTACTGTGTAAAACCCACAGCTCCATGACCTTCGTTCTCGCTGCAAGTCCCGTTCGATTTTGCCCAACAAGTCCTGAGTTTATTGTGCTGCGTACGCTGTCCCTACCGCAATGGAGAGTACTCCAGATGGAGACATTTGTTCCCGGTCAGCGAAGATGCAACCGGAAACGGTGTCACCACTACCACAAGTAGCCAGACACCGACTAACAAAGCGAGTCCCCCGATAGTCCGTGATCTGCTAAACTCGTTCACTTTGCATACCTATCCGTAGAGCAGGGTCTTACTCCTCTGGAAACTGCAGAGAAATTTAAGTGGGTGAAGCTTGAATGTCTTGGTGAGGCGTGTGGATTGGGTGGAATAGTAGTGGAAGAACTTCACCCTACATCCGATGTAGGGTCCAAATCACAAATAAGTACTTCGAGCTTTCTTGACGGTGGGTAGCCTTGAGGGTGTGTCACCTTGGGTTTCCTTCTTGCCGTGCATGTCGCTTTCTATAGGGGGATCTTGGTAGTTGAGAGTCGATAGGTATTCTTGTCCATGCCGTAATTCCGGTTAACCTCCTTGATCTGCACTTGTAAGGGAAACTTCACTAGATTGTATGATGTGGCCAAAATGCTATCCGGTATCGCAACCAACACTAGATCTGCTATTCCCAACCTTCACTGAGCTCGTTGCGGCTAATGTCGTTCCGGATCTTGAGAGCATGACTGCACTTGTGTAGTGCAATGCAAATTTGATTTTGATTTATAGTTAGATTCTATTTACAAATTGTCTTTACCATCACCGCCACTAGACCCCTTATGTACCTTCTCTTCCTTTGGTGACCTTCGTCGCCTAGTTTGGTGTCGGATCCTGGTTTATCTGCAGTGTAGTCCTCGTCATAATGCTGGTTCACGGCGGATCTGTCCCGATCATGACACATATACCCCATATCATGAACACACTCCAGATCTTGATGATCTTGGTCGATCAGGATGCGTCGATTCAGGGTCCATGTTGATCTAACTTCCACAAGCTAGGCTTGCTCGCACTCTCCCACCATAATTTGAAAAGGCAGCGAATAAACAAAACAAAATTACGTCTGAACAGCAGGATCACATGAGCACCGATGGATCGCGGCCCACTTTCGATCCTTGGTTATGATTGAGGATGACGGATTTCTCGAATTTGTGGCGTATATTACTCTCGATCTTGGAAATATAAGTGCGAGTATTATAAGGTGAGGCCAATTGCGAGGCTGCTCCGTGACTTTTGCAAGTGATTTGAGACGTGAAGTTCATGGCGATACTTCCAGATGCTGTATCTACTTCTCAATAACAAGCGATATTTGCACAGCTAGAAACGTACACGTAGTTATATTTCGTTCACTATTCATTATGTGACAGAGAACTTGGCCTCGAGGTTGGACGCTAGAGATCGTGGACCTACCCAGAATGAAATAAGTAATGGAGAAGTGGGTCTTCAGTGAACAACTTTACATGATTTGTTCATTATTCAGACTCCAACATTGTGAAAAACGGCAGGGCTTCTGGGTCTTGAAGATACACGCTGCCTTGCACACGACCTCCATCTCTTTGTTTCAGGGCACTCGCAAAGAATTAGTCATCCAAGACAGAATCTCCAGCTTGGGTGTCTGTTGTAGACGACGAGCCGGACTCAATTTCAAATGAGTATGAAGATGACGAAGAGTTGACCGATAGTGAACAAATTGATAAGGAGCCAATTAGAGATTTGGTAATAAATTAAGCATTGGCGTTCGCTAATGAAGTACTTTTTGAGTTGGAGGAATATGCGATGGAACCATGCGTGAAATCGTTTG